GAGAGAGCAGCAACAGAGAGCAGCAACAGAGAGCAGCGGGGGTCATGGTGGGAGTGTGAGAGAGCAGCAACAGAGAGCAGCGTGGGTCATGGTGGGTGTGTGAGAGAGCAGCAACAGAGAGCAGCGGGGGTCATGGTGGGGCTGTGAGAGAGCAGCAACAGAGAGCAGCGGGGGTCATGGTGGGGCTGTGAGAGAGCAGCGGGGTTCATGGTGGGGGTGAGAGAGAGCAGCAACAGAGAGCAGCAACAGAGAGCAGCGGGGGTCATGGTGGGAGTGTGAGAGAGCAGCAACAGAGAGCAGCGGGGGTCATGGTGGGAGTGTGAGAGAGCAGCAACAGAGGGCAGCGGGGGTCATGGTGGGAGTGTGAGAGAGCAGCAACAGAGAGCAGCGGGGGTCATGGTGGGAGTGTGAGAGAGCAGCAACAGAGAGCAGCGGGGGTCATGGTGGGGGTGTGAGAGAGCAGCAACAGAGAGCAGCGGGGGTCATGGTGGGGGTGTGAGAGAGCAGCAACAGAGAGCAGCGGGGGTCATAGTGGGAGTGTGAGAGAGCAGCAACAGAGGGCAGCGGGGGTCATGGTGGGGGTGTGAGAGAGCAGCAACAGAGAGCAGCGGGGTCATGGTGGGGGTGTGAGAGAGCAGCAACAGAGAGCAGCGGGGTCATGGTGGGGGTGTGAGAGAGCAGCAACAGAGGGCAGCGGGGTCATGGTGGGGTGTGAGAGAGCAGCAACAGAGGGCAGCGGGGGTCATGGTGGCGGTGTGAGAGAGCAGCAACAGAGAGCAGCGGGGGTCATGGTGGGGGTATGAGAGAGCAGCAACAGAGAGCAGCGGGGGTCATGGTGGGAGTGTGAGAGAGCAGCAACAGAGGGCAGCGGGGGTCATGGTGGGGGTGTGAGAGAGCAGCAACAGAGGGCAGCGGGGTCATGGTGGGGGTGTGAGAGAGCAGCAACAGAGAGCAGCGGGGTCATGGTGGGGGTGTGAGAGAGCAGCAACAGAGAGCAGCGGGGGTCATGGTGGGAGTGTGAGAGAGCAGCAACAGAGGGCAGCGGGGGTCATGGTGGCGGTGTGAGAGAGCAGCAACAGAGAGCAGCAACAGAGGAATACACAGGGGGGGGGGTGTACCAAGACGGGGTGCCAATCAGGGGGGGGCGGTAACCCCCCACTTGGGGGGGCGGTAACCCCCCACTTGGGGGGCGGTAACCCCCCACTTGGGGGGCGGTAACCCCCACTGGGAACAAGTGGTCAACTTTAGGGCAGCAAAAAACACCGAACATCAGTGGTGGCGTGTGGCAGCAAATGTCATGCTAGTGGTTAGTCACTTACTGGTGATCCCTGTGGTGCTGGGTCTAGTGGTGGGCTAGTGGCGGGCTAGTGGTGGGCTAGTGACGGGCTAGTGGCTAGCAGGACAAGTGGTGGGCTAGTGGCTAGCAGGGCTAGTGGTGGGCTAGTGGTGGGCTAGTGGTGGGCTAGTGGCTAGCAGGACAAGTGGTGGGCTAGTGGTGGGCTAGTGGCTAGCAGGACAAGTGGTGGGCTAGTGGCTAGCAGGGCTAGTGGCGGGCTAGTGGCTAGCAGGGCTAGTGGTGGGCTAGTGGTGGGCTAGTGGCGGGCTAGTGGCTAGCAGGGCTAGTGGTGGGCTAGTGGTGGGCTAGTGGTGGGCTAGTGGCTAGCAGGACAAGTGGTGGGCTAGTGGCTAGCAGGACAAGTGGTGGGCTAGTGGCGGGCTAGTGGCTAGCAGGGCTAGTGGTGGGCTAGTGGTGGGCTAGTGGCTAGCAGGACAAGTGGTGGGCTAGTGGCGGGCTAGTGGTGGGCTAGTGGTGGGCTAGTGGCTAGCAGGGCTAGTGGCGGGCTAGTGGTGGGCTAGTGGCTAGCAGGACAAGTGGTGGGCTAGTGGCTAGCAGGACAAGTGGTGGGCTAGTGGTGGGCTAGTGGCTAGCAGGGCTAGTGGTGGGCTAGTGGCTAGCAGGACAAGTGGTGGGCTAGTGGTGGGCTAGTGGCTAGCAGGACAAGTGGTGGGCTAGTGGCGGGCTAGTGGCTAGTGGTGGGCTAGTGGTGGGCTAGTGGTGGGCTAGTGGCTAGCAGGACAAGTGGTGGGCTAGTGGCGGGCTAGTGGTGGGCTAGTGGCTAGCAGGGCTAGTGGCGGGCTAGTGGTGGGCTAGTGGCTAGCAGGACAAGTGGTGGGCTAGTGGCTAGCAGGACAAGTGGTGGGCTAGTGGTGGGCTAGTGGTGGGCTAGTGGCTAGCAGGGCTAGTGGTGGGCTAGTGGCTAGCAGGGCTAGTGGTGGGCTAGTGGCTAGCAGGACAAGTGGTGGGCTAGTGGTGGGCTAGTGGCTAGCAGGACAAGTGGTGGGCTAGTGGTGGGCTAGTGGTGGGCTAGTGGTGGGCTAGTGGCTAGCAGGACAAGTGGTGGGCTAGTGGCTAGCAGGACAAGTGGTGGGCTAGTGGTGGGCTAGTGGTGGGCTAGTGGTGGGCTAGTGGCTAGCAGGACAAGTGGTGGGCTAGTGGTGGGCTAGTGGCTAGCAGGACAAGTGGTGGGCTAGTGGTGGGCTAGTGGCTAGCAGGACAAGTGGTGGGCTAGTGGTGGGCTAGTGGCTAGCAGGACAAGTGGTGGGCTAGTGGCTAGCAGGGCTAGTGGTGGGCTAGTGGTGGGCTAGTGGTGGGCAGGGCTAGTGGTGGGCAGGGCTAGTGGTGGGCTAGTGGTGGGCTAGTGGTGGGCAGGGCTAGTGGTGGGCTAGTGGCTAGCAGGGCTAGTGGTGGGCTAGTGGCTAGCAGGGCTAGTGGTGGGCTAGTGGCTAGCAGGGCTAGTGGTGGGCTAGGGGTGGGCTAGTGGTGGGCTAGGGGTGGGCTAGGGGTGGGCTAGTGGTGGGTTAGTGGCGGGCTAGAGGTGGGCTAGTGGCTAGCAGGGCTAGTGGTGGGCTAGTGGCTAGCAGGGCTAGTGGTGGGCTAGGGGTGGGCTAGTGGTGGGCTAGGGGTCGGCTAGGGGTGGGCTAGGGGTGGGCTAGGGGTGGGCTAGTGGTGGGTTAGTGGCGGGCTAGGGGTGGGCTAGTGGCTAGCAGGACAGGACAAGTGTTGGGTAACACCTAGCCTGGTGACCCTGGATGGCCTGGTCGTGGACAAGTGACCATCTTGAGGTTATCTTGAGATGATTTCGGGGCTTTAGTGTCCCCGCGGCCCGGTCCTCGACCAGGCCTCCACCCCCAGGAAGCAGCCCGTGACAGCTGACTAACTCCCAGGTACCTATTTACTGCTAGGTAACAGGGGCATTCAGGGTGAAAGAAACTTTGCCCATTTGTTTCTGCCTCGTGCGGGAATCGAACCCGCGCCACAGAATTACGAGTCCTGCGCGCTATCCACCAGGCTACGAGGCCCCCCCCTATACAGCCATACAGCCAATGTGACCCTAGTTGGTATATTATGGTGAGGAAACACGCTACAACTGTGTAACACTGCCAGAAACACACATCTAGCCGTATGAGCCATTAAACTTGTAACGTTTTCTTCACTATCGTGTCCTTGCTATGGGGTCACTTCGCTGGGGAATAACGCTGTCTCCCCTACAATATAATCACCTAGTTCGGTCCTCCCCGAACCCAAAAATGCATTTATTTCCCCGAGTAATATGCGCCCGTGTTATAAAATGTAGCGCGGACCGAGGCTTAGTGTTAACATTATACACGTCACTTTGGAGTAGTTCCATAACACACAATGACCAGAAATGTTCTCATCACAATAGTGTTTAACACAAGTGACAAAATATTAACAAATGACACAAGACGCTCTAAAGGCTAAAATATTTAGTAAAAGAACTGTAAGGCAAAAATGGTGAGAGGTATGACCTCTTGTTACTGTAGAGGTGTGACCTCTTGTTACTGTAGAGGTGTGACCTCTTGTTACTGTAGAGGTGTGACCTCTTGTTACTGTAGAGGTGTGACCTCTTGTTACTGTAGAGGTGTGACCTCTTGTTACTGTAGAGGTGTGACCTCTTGTTACTGTAGAGGTGTGACCTCTTGTTACTGTAGAGGTGTGACCTCTTGTTACTGTAGAGGTGTGATCTCTTGTTACTGTAGAGGTGTGACCTCTTGTTACTGTAGAGGTGTGACCTCTTGTTACTGTAGAGGTGTGACCTCTTGTTACTGTAGAGGTGTGACCTCTTGTTACTGTAGAGGTGTGATCTCTTGTTACTGTAGAGGTGTGACCTCTTGTTACTGTAGAGGTGTGACCTCTTGTTACTGTAGAGGTGTGACCTCTTGTTACTGTAGAGGTGTGATCTCTTGTTACTGTAGAGGTATGACCTCTTGTTACTGTAGAGGTGTGACCTCTTGTTACTGTAGAGGTGTGACCTCTTGTTACTGTAGAGGTGTGATCTCTTGTTACTGTAGAGGTGTGATCTCTTGTTACTGTAGAGGTGTGACCTCTTGTTACTGTAGAGGTAGACCATTACACCAGGAGGAGTGGCACTACCAGGCGAGGAAGTGACACAGTGTACCTTGTGTGTACACCACTTACACTACTGGTAGACGGGTCCTATACATGGGGTAATGTTTATAACACTGTCGACCCTGGATATACTATACATGGAGGGCTACAACAAGGGTACTACTCACTCTGATGCTTGTCTGCCAGCATGATAAGGGAAGAGGAGCCTGGATCACTAGGGTACACATGTATACTATACATGGAGGGCTACAACAAGGGTACTACTCACTCTGATGCTTGTCTGCCAGCATGATAAGGGAAGAGGAGCCTGGATCACTAGGGTACACATGTATACTATACATGGAGGGCTACAACAAGGGTACTACTCACTCTGATGCTTGTCTGCCAGCATGATAAGGGAAGAGGAGCCTGGATCACTAGGGTACACATGTATACTATACATGGAGGGCTACAACAAGGGTACTACTCACTCTGATGCTTGTCTGCCAGCATGATAAGGGAAGAGGAGCCTGGATCACTAGGGTACACATGTATACTATACATGGAGGGCTACAACAAGGGTACTACTCACTCTGATGCTTGTCTGCCAGCATGATAAGGGAAGAGGAGATGTCGCGACGTCTGTAGAAACACATCACTTTGGCCTCCACGTTACCGTTGGGCGTCTGTGGTAGGAGAGAAGGTGCTCTTAGTTCTGGTGGTGGTGGTGGGGGGTGGTGGTGGCAGGGTGGGTGGCAGGGTGGGGGGTGGTGGTGGCAGGGTGGGTTGCAGGGTGGGTTGCAGGGTGGGTGGTGGTGGTGGCAGGGTGGGTTGCAGGGTGGGGGGTGGTGGTGGCAGGGTGGGTTGCAGGGTGGGGGGTGGTGGTGGCAGGGTGGGTTGCAGGGTGGGGGGTGGTGGTGGCAGGGTGGGTTGCAGGGTGGGGGGTGGTGGTGGCAGGGTGGGTTGCAGGGTGGGGGGTGGTGGTGGCAGGGTGGGTTGCAGGGTGGGGGGTGGTGGTGGCAGGGTGGGTTGCAGGGTGGGGGGTGGTGGTGGCAGGGTGGGTTGCAGGGTGGGGGGTGGTGGTGGCAGGGTGGGTTGCAGGGTGGGGGGTGGTGGTGGCAGGGTGGGTTGCAGGGTGGGTTGCAGGGTGGGGGGTGGTGGTGGCAGGGTGGGGTGTTCTCTGATTGTGCCTATGGCACCTCTACTCTTCACTGGACCTCTGATGTTCAGACAGTGTTCTCTGATTGTGCCTATGGCACCTCTACTCTTCACTGGACCTCTGATGTTCAGACAGTGTTCTCTGATTGTGCCTATGGCACCTGTACTCTTCACTGGACCTCTCATGTTCAGACAGTGTTCTCTGATTGTGCCTATGGCACCTGTACTCTTCACTGGACCTCTGATGTTCAGACAGTGTTCTCTGATTGTGCCTATGGCACCTGTACTCTTCACTGGACCTCTGATGTTCAGACAGTGTTCTCTGATTGTGCCTATGGCACCTCTACTCTTCACTGGACCTCTGATGTTCAGTGTTCTCTGATTGTGCCTATGGCACCTGTACTCTTCACTGGACCTCTGATGTTCAGTGTTCTCTGATTGTGCCTATGGCACCTGTACTCTTCACTGGACCTCTGATGTTCAGTGTTCTCTGATTGTGCCTATGGCACCTCTACTCTTCACTGGACCTCTGATGTTCAGTGTTCTCTGATTGTGCCTATGGCACCTCTACTCTTCACTGGACCTCTGATGTTCAGTGTTCTCTGATTGTGCCTATGGCACCTCTACTCTTCACTGGACCTCTGATGTTCAGTGTTCTCTGATTGTGCCTATGGCACCTCTACTCTTCACTGGACCTCTGATGTTCAGTGTTCTCTGATTGTGCCTATGGCACCTCTACTCTTCACTGGACCTCTGATGTTCAGTGTTCTCTGATTGTGCCTATGGCACCTCTACTCTTCACTGGACCTCTGATGTTCAGTGTTCTCTGATTGTGCCTATGGCACCTCTACTCTTCACTGGACCTCTGATGTTCAGTGTGTTCTCTGATTGTGCCTATGGCACCTCTACTCTTCACTGGACCTCTGATGTTCAGTGTTCTCTGATTGTGCCTATGGCACCTCTACTCTTCACTGGACCTCTGATGTTCTCTGATTGTGCCTATGGCACCTCTACTCTTCACTGGACCTGTTCTCTGATTGTGCCTATGGCACCTCTACTCTTCACTGGACCTCTGATGTTCAGACAGTGTTCTCTGATTGTGCCTATGGCACCTCTACTCTTCACTGGACCTCTGATGTTCAGACAGTGTTCTCTGATTGTGCCTATGGCACCTCTACTCTTCACTGGACCTCTGATGTTCAGACAGTGTTCTCTGATTGTGCCTATGGCACCTCTACTCTTCACTGGACCTCTGATGTTCAGACAGTGTTCTCTGATTGTGCCTATGGCACCTCTACTCTTCACTGGACCTCTGATGTTCAGACAGTGTTCTCTGATTGTGCCTATGGCACCTCTACTCTTCACTGGACCTCTGATGTTCAGTGTTCTCTGATTGTGCCTATGGCACCTCTACTCTTCACTGGACCTCTGATGTTCAGACAGTGTTCTCTGATTGTGCCTATGGCACCTCTACTCTTCACTGGACCTCTGATGTTCAGACAGTGTTCTCTGATTGTGCCTATGGCACCTCTACTCTTCACTGGACCTCTGATGTTCAGACAGTGTTCTCTGATTGTGCCTATGGCACCTCTACTCTTCACTGGACCTCTGATGTTCAGACAGTGTTCTCTGATTGTGCCTATGGCACCTCTACTCTTCACTGGACCTCTGATGTTCAGACAGTGTTCTCTGATTGTGCCTATGGCACCTCTACTCTTCACTGGACCTCAGACAGTGTTCTCTGATTGTGCCTATGGCACCTCTACTCTTCACTGGACCTCTGATGTTCAGTGTTCTCTGATTGTGCCTATGGCACCTCTGCTCTTCACTGGACCTCTGATGTTCAGACAGTGTTCTCTGATTGTGCCTATGGCACCTCTACTCTTCACTGGACCTCTGATGTTCAGTGTTCTCTGATTGTGCCTATGGCACCT